AAAATCACCCAGTGCAGTTTCCATTTTAAATCCATGGAAAGATAGTTGTTGAATTTGGTAGATATTGAATTGGATTGCAGATATTTAACCTTTGAAAATCAAATCTGCAGACTCGTGGCCAGACATGATACATGAGTGAACCCGACAGCCCTATGAAATTTGCAGTGTCATAGAATGAAAAAAGTGTCACAGAACTCTGACCATTTTTACTTTCTCTGTACCCATTATTTCATCTCTCTTGTGACTTACTCATCATTTTAAACTGCTGAGCATCTTTTAACAGCTAACATTCCTTAAAAAATGGACCTGTCAGAGAAATCGTCTTCCTCACAAGTGTGAAAGTTCCTGCATCTATGTATTATAATCATAAGATAGACACAAAATACTTTAAGCCTTGGATGAACATGTGATGATATGGAGAAAGATTATTAAAGCTTATCATCAGGGAGTCTAATGTTTAATAAGAATTTTGATTTTGGTTGCCTGATGACAGATTTTGGAAGGCACACAAAATCCATGGTAGCTAAAATCTATTGTTAATTATGTAATACAGCAACTTTATGCTGCTGTGAAGAGGAATTTCTTTACTTCTGAGACTTACAGCTCACTTTAGCCCTTGAGAGTCAAGAGTGTTAAAACTGACAGACTAGAACTGACTCATTAACACAGCTTCCTCTTCCAGCTTCTGTCCACGGAGGTTCCAGGCATGGAGAAAGGGCATGCTAGAGTAGATCTTGTCTGAGCCTCTGTTACATAAAGACATTCAGGAATTTTTAGAAGAGCTATTGGTTAGATCTGCTCCTTAGCTCTTCTAACATATGCCAGGGTCAGACAGCAGAGGATTAGAAAATTTTATCTGCTATATCCAAGAGGAAGTGTGAACACTTAGACACTGAAGACAGTGTCTAAGTACAGCTTCTCTATGATCAGGCATAGTATACAGCCTTATTGTACTGCGTATAACCTTAAAAAAACGTTAATACTATTTTAGGTCTGTTTAAAAAGGCTTCCTCTCTGCCTTGAAAAGTCATGGGAACTCATGGGAACAAAGGCAGTTGGGCTTTCAGGTGGAAGAATACAAAAGCAGTTCCAATTCTTCTTCTGATCTTCTGTAGCTTTTTTTTTTTTTTTGGTAACAAGACATAAAGATTTTGTTGGCATGAGTTTTGGAATGGTCTGCAGAGCCTTCTTTGTCTGTTGCAGTAATCTTTAGACACCTGGTCAATCATTCCAGATCTGAATTCCATGGCAGCCTAATTTATAAGGAGCAGAAACATATGTTGTTCTCAGGTACTTGCAATACTATTACAATTCAAAAGCAACATCAGTCTTGCCAAAGAGAGAAACTGACTGGCAGTTTTCCTTGTTCAGAATCGGAGCAATAGCTGTGCAACGGGCAAACATGATGGCACAACTCATTTTTTAGCTATACTACTTCAAGCTGTTTTAGACATTGTGGCATTTTTTTCCTCTGTATTCTGAAGACCTCTGCAGTATACCTGGGTTTCATGTAGTATATTTACAAGTTATCCATTTACTTTCCAAATTTATTTGAATTTTCCAGATTAAACCATGTCCTTTGAATTAAACTAAAGCTACAAAAGAACTGTTAGGATTTCATTAACTTCACTCCAAGAGTAAATGCTGTTGCTTCCTCCCCACCCCCAATCTGTGCAGTTACGACAGTTTTGGTTTTACAATAAGACCGAAGAGCAAAACATTAGGTGTTATCAATAGTTTCAGCACTGTAGAATTGCAATAAACTATTTTCTCTACTATTTAATGAGCCATGAAAACAAATCTCTTGTGCTTTTTTGTTCCTGTTGGCTTGATAAGATACCTCTTGATTGTGATCCCTGTGCTTTGTGTAAGCCGTATTGTTTTCAGTCTTGAAGACAATAACTAAGAAATGCTCAATGTGATGTGTAATGAATGTAAGCTGTTCCATTTAAAGTTGCTATGAACTGATGAAATTATAAGAGCAAGCTCATTCTGTCCCAATCTTTTAACAAAAAGAGCAAGGTTAGTTTAAATTATATATATTCAGGAATTATAAAAGGAAATGCATATTTAGTAACAACACACTGCAGGCCACCTTTTTCACGCAGCGCTGCACTGATATGATAGTAATGATTGCAGTTTTTCAAGATAAGGTAATAGAACAAATGCTTATAAAGAGTTACATCTATAATAAAAGAAAAGTCTAGCACCAGCTATGTTTTAACCATCTAGTTAGTCTAATGCCAATGGCAAAGCATACTCCTCTCTAATGGAAGGAATGGCTAAACTTCAGCAGAAGCAGATGGGGTTGTGTGATGTATGTTGACTCAAGAACGTAGAGGTGTTTGAAACAGACTTGCATGCTGTGTGGTCCAGGACTGTTTACGGTATTTGTAAATCCTGAGACTGTTTTGGGTATCTGTAAACCCCAGGTCTCACGTAGCTCATGTAGCTTCCTTGTTAAACACATTTTGTTTCTTCCGCTTTTGTATGCAAAGGTTCTTTCATGTCTCAAGCTACTTTGTTACTCCACAGTGGTCACATCCTAACATTTAAAAGTACTTTTTCAAGATTAGTGATTGTAAACATGCTGCTGCCATTTGGCCTGATATAGTACAATCATCTTTTTTGTTTTCCAGCTGCAATATATTTTGTGTCTATACATCCAAATATCCCATTGCAGTATGAAATAACTATCAAGACGACAGGCATTGACGGCTTCATTGCAGTTTCCACATGATATTCCTTATCACAAAATGCCTTTCACATCAATACTGGCTGAGATCAGACCTGCCTAGCTGGGTTTTTTTTTTTAAACAGATTTTCATGGCTCTGGAATGTCTGTTAATAATAATGATTGAGCTATATGGCATTTCTTGAGAATTAATGATTGTCTAGGAGGCTTCAGTGACTTAGTGCTCAACAAAGGACTGTTCTCTCTAGCAATTGATCAGTCCCAAGCAAATACTCCGAGAGTACTCAGATACTCAATATCAACATTGTTATTATTATTGAAGAAAATTTGATTGCAATTGTTCTCTATGAACTATCTTTATAAAATTATTATTTGGGGCTGTTGAAGTTGCCCATGACTAACAATTTATACATATGGATATACATGCATACAAAGTATTTACCCATATCTGGTGGTATGTAGGGACCTTGAGTTGTTGATTTGTGTGCACAGACAACAGAAGCATACATTGGCTTTTTAATGAAGGCTATGACAGTTTTAACAACATTTAGGGTTTGCTTGTAGGGTGCTTAGCGTACTAGGTCCCTCATATCAGCTAAGGTCTCTAGATGCTAATATAATGCTACTACTATTGCCAATGATAGCTGAACTGTTTATATAACTTCCACTGAGACACGGTTATATATTGGTACAGGATTTCCCAGGAAAAAAAAAAAAAGCCTATTTTATAGTTTATATTTGAGCTACAAGCTTGCTGTTGATCCACATATAAAAGTCTCAGTGGAATCAAGTGAAAGAAAATGGGAAAAATAATAGGAGTATTTCATTTTGCATAAAGTCTGTGCCTAAAATCGAGTATTTCACTTAACTAAATGGATATGTGCTGCAGCAAAGACAACTCTTTAGGCACTGCTTGAAGCGTTCATCTTCTCCATCGTTCCAAAAGCAAATTACATCAGTTATAGGATAAAACTGTAGAAAAATAGGCAATTACTGCTTACCTTAAAGCAATGCTAACAAGGAAGTCCTAAAAGCAGAAGCCCATGGTGTTAAATTGTGGAATCTTAAGTGTTTCTGGACAGTTGATAAAGACAATTGAAATCAATAAAATGTTTACTGAGTGACTTCAATGAGAAAGGCTTTATATAATCACATCATTACCCCACTTGCACCTCAGTACTGTGTGAGTTTTCTTGTTTCCGCTATTATATGTAATGCTTCTGTATTTTGGTAATGTAGGTAGGTGTTCTTACAGCTGTGTGCTATGAAGACATACACATGCCGTAGCAAGCCTAGTAAAAGGGGTTTGTAACTCTGGTCAAGAACAACTGTAATTCATGATAAATATTGATACAGACAAAATAACTTTACTGCTAATAGGACTAACAGGCACAGAGAGAGCATAACTACAGTAACTTATGATTAACTAGAGTAACTTATGATTTATGACTTCTAGGTTCTGAGTCTGATTCAAAGTCTTCTGATGTCACAGGAAATGTTTTTTCAAGGAGCTTTAAAGCAAGCTCCCACATTCCCTAGTTCTGGGTTCTGTTTCCAAGTATATGCCACTTAGGGTCAGATTCTGTTCTCATGGAACAGAAGCCAGCAGATAGTAGAATCTGGCCTAAATCCTTCAGGCTTTGCAGCTATAGGAGAATTCTTAAGGAAAACCCTAGGATCTCAGCAAAAAAAGAAACTTGTACTATAGCTAGCCAGGATTAAGAGCCCATAAAATAAATAATTTTATGATATTATTATTTCAGTGCACACATATAGCACTAATCATGCAAAATATTTAAGCAGCTTTTTAGCAGTGAAATCAACAGGGAAACTTGTATAATCTTACATGCCTGACAGGACTGGACTTTAAATGTCTCGAAATGCAATGGAACAGATTCATTGTTCCATCTGTATGGAACAGATTCATTTTGTGCATTATTTTCAGCACAAACTGCATCACAAAGTGTTAAATAATAAATAATAGCGGAGAGCAGTATACACAAGGGAGGAATGATATGATTTCAGAGGAGACTTGAAAAGGGATGTTGATGAGGTGGAGGTTTTAAGAATTAAATATTAAAAACAAAGAAGGCTGGTTTTGCCTGAGACTGATTGTTTCCCTCTGCTGAGAAATCAAGGGGCTTTCTTACCTACCTCCTGGACAAGGATGCCAGGCTTACTGTCGCACTGTTCGGTAGAATCATCACTGTACTTAAGAGTCTATTTTTAAGAGAAGGCAAAGGATCACAATTAGCTAACTACAGCCCTCTCCGATTCCAGACGTCTGCTTTGTCCTCTGCCTCACCTTTCTGTTGGTTGACTGCTTATCATCTCCACACGAAGTTGGCCAAAGTTACTGAAGCGCAGAAGCAGTATAGCCCCCCTGCAAGAGGAGATGGAAGAAGAGGAGCAGGTCTGTGGCACGCCGCTGCAGACGCAGAGCTCCAGAGCCCCAGCAGACAAGCCCCTCTCCCTTGGAGATAACAACAGCCGGCGAGGCCGCAGTGAGGCTATCACAGATACGTCCCCGAGGAAAAGGGAAGCTGCTTGAAGCACCAGCCCACGCTGCTAAATCACACCATAAGGGGCTTATTTCCTACATTTGGTGGCAGCATAGTATTCAGGATAATATTATCACTACTTGCGCAGGTTACTGCCAAGCCCAAAGATGGGGATGAGAGAGTTAAACAGCAGGGATGGGGAGCGAATCACTAAAAAGTCTTTCCCAGAGTCAGACCTCCGTTTGGGGGGGAAGTTATTTTAATTCTGCGTCTCACAAACAACCCGCAGCCCCACCGTGTCCGCCGGAGCCAGCCCGACTGACATTATAACAAGGTTTTTAAGTAAATGATGCGCAGGGGCAGCTCATGTTCGGCAGACACCGCGGCAGC